TGAAGGAAGTATCCATTGAAAAGGAGTCAGCAAAATATCAACAGTTTTTTCATGATTTCTCACATTTTGAAAGCATGTTGTAAGCACTGTCACAAATGGTTGGCATGATGACCAAGTCCATTCAACCACAAAGCACCAATTGACCAGAAACTTAATGAAGATGCTGCTTTCCTTCTTCCCCTCGCACCCCCTGCCTTTTCTGGAGAACTATATTTTCAAACAAAGCAATGCCTCTCCCACCATTTAATTTTATTACTGTATTTTATTAGGGGTTCAAGAATATTCTTAGAGCTATAGCTGGCAGAGGGGACTGACAATCTTCCCTCTGCCAGTTTTTCATGCTCCAGAAATATATATATTGAAGTGAAAGTTTGCAGAAACTTTGCAGGTATATATATATATATATATATATATATATATATATATATATATATATGTATGTCTTTGGTTATTCGGGTTTTCTCCCACGTAAAATTGGAAGTGTCTTGGCGACGTTTCGACGAAGTCCCATTCGTCATCTTCAGGCTGGTGTTTTCAGTTTCGTGCTTCGAGGAGCAATGTGTGGTCTTAGCTGTTTCTTCCTTTTTAGAAGAAGGAATACCCCCACCAACAATACAGCCCCCCCCCCGGGATGAACACTTTGAAGTCCCCCCAAAGACGAGCACAGGAGAGGAGAGTGAGAACGCGGGGAATCAGAATGCAGAGATCTGGAGACCTGGTGTCTGCCTGAATACCGTTCCTATCAGCAATGGGGAAGAGCATGCGATAGGGAGGAGGGGGGATGATGAATTGAGAGATGGAGTTAGCACCCGATCACGCAGCAAACAAATGGAACGGTGGAGAACTGTCGACACGAAGATTGCCAGGATGGAGGAGGAGGGCATAGACCCCCAAATATGCAACACCCGTATGAAAGTTACTCATGACAGTGGAGGAGTGAGAAGAAAGGGTGTGGAGCAGGGATTGAGAAAAGCGTGTGTGGGGGGGAGCGTCTGTGAGCCCAGGGAAGCTTGTAAAACTGATAGAGGAGAAACAGATGCCCCCAGGGTGGAAAATGAAAACAAAAAGGGGAGGAGGGTCAGTATTATGGAAGGAAATAAGGATAAAGGGGTGGTGGAGGAGATAGTGGAAGGAACGATCTGGAAAAATCATAGAAGGAAGCGTAAGGAGAGTAATAAAGAAACATCTGGAACACTAATTAACCGGCCGGGACCGGTGACGCAGTCCATGAGCCGACTGCAGATGCCGGCAAAACCCATTTAAGTCATCATTGTTTACTGGCTCCTTAGCCCTGATGATGTTTGGAGTTTCCAAACGAAAGCTTGGCAGCTTTTAGTAAAGTATATTTTTATATTTATACTCTCCTGGTGTTCGTATTTTATTTGTACCATATATATATATGTATGTATGTATGTACTTGTTCACTCTTAATAATTGCTCTTGGAAAGAGTAAAACCATAGAATAAGATTCCTATTACTCATGGTTTTGCCTTTCCATGATTCACTTTCTCATTCTCTTTCTCTGGCTCCATATACAAGGTCTCAGTTCTGCTACCTTTTAAAAGCACCAAAAATAAGTGGATTCCTTCCATTAGTGCAGGGGTAGGTAATCTTGCCTCTTTTGTGACTCGTGGACTTCAACTCCATGCTGGCTCAGGAATTTTGGGAGTTGAAATCCACAAATCATAAAAGAGCCAAGATTGCCTACCCCTGCACTAGTGAATGGTTGGCCATATTCCCACCAGCACTTACCCATGACACAAAAATTCCCTATTTGTCTGCTTTGCTCCATGCTGCTGCTTTCATCTCAGTTCTAAATCATAAGAGAGATACAATTAAGAAACCATTAGCTGAACTTAGTAATGTTTTCCCAATTATTCCAAGATTTTTTAAGGACAGTCCAGGGTGCATAACATATATTATACTTTTTCACCTGTCATCTTGGAAGGAAATTAGGTGACTGCAAGGACTTGAAAGAGAGATGGTGGAGGCTAGATAGCTGGGCTACAAAAACCTAAACAATTGTGATAGAAGAAGAAAAAATGATCTAGTTGCTCAGACTTTTTGCAGCCCAGTTATAAAAGAGGCAGGACAGAGTCCAACAACTCTTTGATGCTGATATGAATTTCCTGATGACTCAAGTTTGGGTAGCTGGTAGTTCAGCTCCACAGCCCTGATTGGCTCATTTCTTTATTTTCTAGCGCTATCAGCAACAATACCTTATAACTAATGCGGAGAATATCAGAAGCTGCTTTGTATCTTTTCTTCTCTTTTTCTTCTTTCCTTTTTCCTTTTGATCCGGCTTTAATTGTATTAGTATTCAGATATCTTAATCTGAATTTACAAAGATGAGGAATTGTATGGTGCTCAGAGTCAGATTTGAACTCAGCAGCTTATACCCTTGGTCAATAAATAAATGTAGATAAATAAAGCTAACAATTTATTCTCACTAAACACCTAGATCTCAGCTTAGGCTATTTTATTTTTAACTGCTGTGTAAAATGTAATTAAACACTAACTAAAGCAGTAGTTTCCAAAAACGCAACTCAGCTATTCTTCTCAAGCTTTTATATGTTGATTTATGGATATTCCTAACTCTAACCCTAATTTTTTTATAGATTTTTATAGATAAAGTCAGATGCGTGCAGTTGGTTGTTGTGAGAGAGGCTTTGTAAGTACATACAGTTACAAGTAGTCCTCAACTTACAACCATTCATTTAGTGACCATTTAGTTACAGCAGTACTGGAAAAAAAAAGAGAGTTGTGACTGTTTTTCACACTTACAATGATGGCAGCATCCCCACGGTCACATGATCAAAATTCAGATGCTTGGCAATTAGGGTGTATTTATGATGGCTGCAGGGGTCCCTGGTGGTCCTGGGATCTCCTTTTGCCATCTTCGGACAAGCAAATTCAATGGGAAGGCCAGATTCACTTACGAACCATGTTAACAACTGCTGTGATTCACTTAACAACTGTGGCAAGAAAGGTCATAAAATGGGGAAAATCTCACTTAACAATTGTCTTGCTTAGCAATGGAAATTTTGGGCTCAATTGTGATTATAAGTCAAGGACTACCTGTACAGAAGACAATAAAACAGGAGGGGAAAAGTCCCCATAGAGGTGAGAACAGTCAGACTTATTTGAGGAAATAAGTGATATAGCCCAGGGGTAGGCAACCTTGGCTCTTTTATGACTCATAGACTTCAACTCCCAGAATTCCTGAGCCAGCATGGCTCACCTTGGAAACCTCTCCCTTTCCCCTCAGCATGGCTGGCTCAGGAATTCTGGGAGTTGAGGTCCATGAGTCATAAAAGAGCCAAGGTTGCCTACCCCTAGCCTACGACAAAAATTTCCTTAGAGTTGTCTCAAACACTACAGGAAAAAAGGTTTCCCAACTGACATTATCTTTGCTTTGATGTGCAAAGAACATCAGAATATTGAAGATAAACATTCTTTTGGCAATATTCCGATATCATATTTTGTATAATATATATAAATTATATAGATATAATTTCTGTCATTTCACACTTTATCACCAGAGGGCGCACCTTACCAGCTATTTAGTATTTTTTTTGAAAAAAATATTTTGGCAAGATGGATTGCTAGAATCCTACAGGTGGGGAACTGTTTTTAATTTTCTTCCTTCCTTTCCCCTTCCACCATAAAAGGAACTTTTTACTAATTTTCTCATGTCTGTAAATCTTTTTTTTCCCTATTTATTTTAGGGGGATTTTTTTTATTCTTTTTCTCTCTGTTCTTCTTTTGATTGCAATTTTAAATAATATTTCACACTAATAATACATGACTTGTCACATTTATAAAAAGCACATCACCAGTGCAAGAAGTGCATGATTGGCAGCAGATACTTTAGCTGCTGAGGATCCATGGAAAGGAGGGGGGGGGAGGGAAAAAGGATAAACAAAAAAAAACATTGTGGTCTCTCATAAACCAACAGATTTATTATGACAAAAGCCTTGATGGCAAATTGCAATAAATCTGTTTTTGTTGTTGTTATTTTACATGCCTCAAATCTCTGTGTTATTTTGCTGTTACAGACTTGCCTTGCAACCCCTCTGGAATTTGTCGTATTACACACACAGAGAGAGCGACAAAGAGATAGAGAGAGAGAGAGAGAGAGAGAGAGAGAGAGAGAGAGAGAGAGAGAGAGAGAGAGAGAGACAGACAGACAGACAGACAGACAGACAGACAGACAGACACAGAACGAATGAACAAATGGGGCAATTTCAGGCTGGTAACTAAATGGATGAAAAGCTGCCAAGGTATGAATAGAAGAATATCTCAATATTTTGTATAATCAAATTCAGGGAAAGTTTACTCCATCCAGATAATAATCTCTTCCTCAAGAGATTATTTTTCAGTTCAGTGATTCCTCAGATAACTGTAATTCCAGTACATTTGAAAGAGAACCATAGGGGGAGCTTTAAATACTCAGGTTTGCATAAATTGGTATCCTTCTCTTCTCCACCCGACAATGTTCCCCAAATACAACAGCTACACAACAACCTGAAGAAAAACACACTTTATAATGGCATAAACATGGATTGATTAGGGCACATTTCCTTAATGCTTGGAGTGGTGCAGTCATTTACTGTATACTGAAAAAAAGAGCAACAAAAATTGGAAAAATTTAGTGCAGAACAAGGGTGGAAAGCCAAAAAGGAGGGTCTGAAACAACTCAGTTGGAGCTTAAAATTAGTGTTCCTGTGAAGGGACATTTCTTGCACATATTTAAGCCTAAATGAAATTGCTTCAGACTGCCCTTTCTGCATGTCATTGACACTGAATCCAAGTATTTATATTTTTATTCCTTCCCATCCAAATGAAAAGCTCCCTTATTATTGATTGGTCTGGTTTCACACACCCTAGCTATCTGTGTCTCTGAGGCTAGATTTACACTCTCTCTCTCTCTCTCTCTCTCTCTCTCTCTCTCTCTCTCTCTCTCTCACACACACACACACACACACACACACACACACTCATCAAGATGACACGGCTGCCCAATCAAAACTCTGTCTTGTTTTTTTCCCCCATGCAGCTGCCCTCTTGACCTTTTTGAGTCCCTATGGATGCCCTTGTTTCTTCAAGCTAGCCTCGTGCCTGTCAGTTAAATGTATAATTGCCACATCCTCTTGCTTTTCCTTGTTTTGCAAGGAAAAGGATTGGGCTTCAAACACACACACAGACTTATCTTGATCTTTTTACCTGATCCAGGGCCTGTAGATGGTGCCTCTGATGAAATAACCCAGCTTAATCCAAGAAAAGGACTCTCAAAGTCCACCAGCTCCCATCATTTGCAATCAACCCAGCAGTTTGTTTGCTGGCTAAAGATGGTGAGACTTATAAGCTTAACCCAGCTGATGGGCATAACATTGGGGAAGTTCTTAGTTATGGACATTTATTTTCTTTTGGGAGAGGCAAAATCACACCCCCAATCTACCAGTGATTTATGAGGGGCATTTAGGACCCAAATTTCCCCCTCCTCATCTACCTCAACCAATTTTCATGAGAATGGAAGAGACATGCAGTGACCAGGTGCAGGGGTTGAAGCTGGCCTGCCTTGAAACAAGGTGGACGAAGCTCACATCCTCCCTTGACTCTATAGCTTGCCAGATGGGTTTGCACCAGCCCCTTAGGTGGGATAATTATTTAAGTACATACATAAAAGTCACTTTAGGGCAAATGTTATGTTTCTCAAGGGAATGCTGCAGAGACCTCTCTGGTGGTCTGTGATGAAGAATTCCTTCCCTGTTGCTTCACTTCCTATGATTTTGTTTGGTCTCTGGCTGAAATTGTTTTTGGTTTTTTGAATCCCAAGCATTTTCATTCTACTAAATGGCTAAATAGGATGGCAGCTATGGCAATTCTGCAAGTAGAGTATTTCCCTTTTTGTTAGTAGTAATGGAATAGAAAAGTTAAATGCAAGAAGAATAGAGTAGAAGTATAGAGTATAGAGTATAGAGAAGTAGAGTATAGAGTATAGAGAATAGAATAGAATAGAATAGAATAGAATAGAATAGAATAGAATAGAATAGAATAGAATAGAATAATGGAATGGAGGAAATGGAAAATCCACTTCTATTTCAAGAATTTAGAAGTATTTTCAGACCACCCTTCTCTTTTGGGTGGCATATGAAAAAAGGAGCCTCAGACTGGGTGGAGCTTAAATTGAATTTAAATTGAATGGAAATTAAATTAATTCAGTACAGATAGTATGATCAATTTCATTCATGTAGTAACTTTTCCACTTTGACACAATTAAAATCAGTTAACATTAGAAGTTCTGGAGGCATTTTTGCATTTTTTTTCTGTAACCTTTGCTGGCTGGGTTCCAAAAGAAACAATTTCTTCCCCTATGGCAGTATTTCTCAACCTTGACAATTTTAAGGCATGTGGACTGCAACTTCCAGAATTCTGGGAGTTGGAGTCCACATGCCTTAAAATTGTCAAGGTTGAGAAACACTGCCCTATGGCCATCCTGGGATTCCACATCAATTATTTTACACTGATTGAGACAAACAAGGTCACTCTTTTTGGAAATCATTTGCCCCTTTGGGAAAGGATAAAAACTGACTTTATTTGACATTATCTGAGTCTGCCATGTAATTCCCATCACAGGAAAATCTTTCTGTGAGATGACTTTGGCTGGTGCTACCTAATTCGGAATGATCAGCAAGACTCAGAGGTCTGCCTTTGGATGAATGAAATAAAGTTGAGTGATTCTTATGCCCCCTCACCACTGGAATCCTGACCCTTTATTGAGGTTTATATGCACTTAGCCCTTAGCAGATGGCAGCTCCTAATTGATGTTGGCTCATCTCAGAAAAGCTATGCAGGGAGAGACTTGTTCATCGTTGGATGAAATATCATGAGGGATGCCCAAGACCGGGAAGGCTAGACTAGGAGGTCCAAAAAATCCCAGTTGGAAGCAACAGGAAAACCACTTCCACATGAGGTCAAAGATGATTCCACATAGTCACTAGGAACTGAGACCCCCTTCAAAAGAATCTCCACACTTTCCTAATTTAACCTGAACACCCAAATCAGACCATTACCTCTGAAAAGTTCAAAGGCTGAAATTATGAGGAATCTCCCAAAGGAAGAAACTTCACACCCAGGAAAAAGAGTTCATACAGTCATTCCCAAATCCAACTTTTGTCAGCTCAGCATCTTCCAGAACACTCATGAAAATAACGACAGGAATCTCATCTCACCCATCTCAAGGGCGCCTCTCGGAGGAGACTGGCTTATTCCCCAGCTGTGGAAACTTGCATACACTGTTAGGAAGATGGAAAAGGAAAAGTGAGGAAAATAAGACATCAGAAAGGAAAAAGAAATCTCCAACAGATAGGCTGACATTGTTGCAAATGGGAAAAGTCTGATCCCTAGCTATAATGACCACCATGAGGCATGGCACTGCCTGTTTCATCTATATTGAACATATTTAGGTGGAGGAATCAGATTTTACTCTGAGCTGGGACTCTTGGTGACTGTCTGAACAAGTCCCTGCATTTTTCTTAGCAAGATTTCAGAAGAGGTATGCCATGGCCTCATTCCCGAGACTCAAAGAGACCAACTGGCCCGAGGTCACCCAGCTGCCTTTGTACCTAAGGCGGGACTAGAACACACGGTCTCTTGGTTTCTAGCCTTAGCCACTACACCAAACTGGTTCTTGTTGTCCTATTGGGCAGGAATAAAAAATGAAAACAGTAAGTCTTTTGTTAGCTTCAAATCTGAAGCAGATCTAAGCCAAGTATATGGAGCAGGCATTGATAACCTTCACCTAAGTAGGCTCATCTGGCAACAGCAGGCAGCCATTCCATTTCTCACAATGCTCCAACAAAGCCTTAGTTCTTGGCACTGGCAATTCCAACTTTCTTGCAAATTCAAATGGCTATCTTCTCTTTGATGGCCTCTTTTTCTAGGGGACGCAAACAAGAGGTCATGTGTTGGTCTCCAAGTCCACAGAGGGCCTTAGTAATTCCTAGTGAAATCCAGATGCTAAATCAACCCTGACTACATTCAGGTCCATAGGTCTGAAGACCACTTCCAATCTTCATTTCCTACAATAGGGATGAACTGAAATGGCAGCTACTGTATGTAAAGGAAGAGGACAGGAAAAACAATCAGGACCGGAGATTCAGGCCAAAGTACCAAGCAGATGATGATCCTCAAAGCTTTTAAGACAAAAATGGGGCAGAGATGTGTGTTTTTAGATGATCCTGAAACAGAGGTGTGCATGGAAGAGGCAGTTTTCAAAGAAGTCAAGATGGCGGCTTCAAAAACATGGTTGCAGTTGTTATCTTCACTTTTTGATTCCAACACCACTGGTCAACACAGCTAACAGTAAGAGATGCAGGGAGATACAGCTTAGCAGTAAATGGAGAATTCATCTTACTCACTCCAGGAACACCCAAGATACCCAATTCTGTAACATTTCCAGGTAAAATACCAGAACTCAAACTTAACTTAGGGGAATCTTATTTTTTTTATATAACCCCAATAATTATCTTTGCTGCAAGAAAGTCAAGTTCTCAATATTGAAAAGATGTTTTTGCAGAAATAAGTCTGTACTGTGGCTCGGACCCATGGGAATTCTTATCAAATATATCTGAAAAGACCTGGGCTGGGGAAGGCGGATCAAAAATGACAGAGGTGGACTCCCAGGGAGACAGCTTTTTAAGGATAATTTCCAACATAGGCTATGAGTTCCTTGCTTTTAGCACTGATTCTTTAAAAAAAAAAAAGATGTAAATTTTTGAAGCCCAATAGTAATCCTGCTACATGCCTGGATTTCAGAAATGTCTGCAGGACCCAATCCTTTGGTTAAAACAATGAAAGCAACAGTGCACCATCATGATGAAAGGACCTCTATTTTCATTTATGTTTTTTTCCCACTCTATTTTTATATATATATTTTCACCTGCCTCCCTGCAGATGCTTCTGCCTGGTTCCTGATGTGTGTAAAATTTGTGCAGCTGTTCAGCTGGAAACAGAATAATACCCAGAATACACATGGAAGTATTTTTGCTTTATAATATCTGTTTTCAGTCCACTTTTCCAAAGAGGAAATCCCCAAATGAACATTAATAAACAAGCATGCTTCAAAAGAAGAAAGGATAGAACTTAAAAAGAAAAACAAAACAAATAATCTATATTTAAGAGAATATAGTTTTCTCCTTTCACCTACTGTATATTCCTTCCTACCCCACACTTTATTACCAATTTATTCTTGACTGAATTAATTTTGGTTTTTAAACTAAAGTTATGAAATTGAATTGGCGTAGCAGCACAGATCAGCTTTGTCAGAATCTTCTTCCTAACAACACTGTGAAAATTTTAGAAGTTTAAAATGCAACCTGATTATCTGTCTGCTCTTTAGGAGAAAAGACCTGAATTCATTTTTCGTAACTTGGCAGGCAAATGATCCTCCAGTCTTGCCCCCAGGGTATGCAAGAGCTGAGGTCTCTGCTGGAATTCAAGGTTCCCAGTGGACCGAGCCAGGAGCTCTGATCTGGTTTTGAAGGCTGCCAACTTCAGCTTTTCACCTTCCTCCTCCATGTTGCAGACAGAACTGATCTGCTGGATTTTCAAGAGGTCACCCGTGCTGCAAGCTTTCTCAACACTGGTGGAGCAAAGGCTTGGAATACCTCTCTGGATATCTCCCTTCCCAGAACAAATCTTCTGAAACTTGATGGGAAGATGGCTGCTTTTCTCTTCAAAAAATTCAAGACAGTCAAGAGAGGAGATCTTTTCCCGTCGACTCCTATGACTCCCAGTAGGGGTGTTCAGAGGTGATGGGAGAGCCAAATTCTCTTCTTGCTCCTTCACACTATAGGGAGGAGTTGAAACTTCAAAAGTGCCATGAAACTGAGAATAATCCACACGGAAAAAGCCATCTTCCAGCGACATCACAGGGAGGAACCTGTGGCCCCAGAGGACTTCATCTTCTGTATAAGAGGTTCTGGCTTGGCAAGTCATTCCTAAGAAAAGAAAATAGTGAAGGAATCAAATTTAGATTGGTAAATTACATTACCAATCAGTCTGGCTCTTCAAAGGATTTTTGTTAGGAGAAAAGACCTGAATTCAGGGAGGGAGAGCAGTGGCAATAGATATAACCATCCTTGTGGGTCCACCTAAACATGGACGGAGCAGGAAATGCAAACTAAGTAGGGGCTACTTGGACATATTTATATATCATATTTTTATGTTACCCATCTCAAAAAAATGTGACTCTGAGCAGTGTACAACAAAAACAGTAATTACAAAAATCCCTCTATAATTAAAACATTAATATTATTATAAAAAACCTAACAGGCTAGATGTTAAATGCAATTAAACCGATATATTTAATATATGAACTTCCTTCTAAATTCTGTGCTGAGTGGAAATGGTAGTACAACTTGGGTAGAAAAACTTCCACAGCTCTTCCATACAAGGCCCACCTGGCCAGCTTCTGGAGCCAATTCAGTCCACCACTTCCCAAATATTTTCCTTTAAAATGGGTAAAAAATTTGTGGCTCACTACTGCTAATCTGCATTTGCTTCCTCTAGTGCAATTTGTGTTCAGTTTTGGAGCCACTGGTCCCCTCTGTCTACCTGTTCTACTATTTTCCTTTCTACTTTTCCTCCTTAACTCCCTGCAAAATTGTTGTTCACACAACAAGTGTGGGTCAGAATATTTCATGTATTGGTTTGGACACCACAGTCCCACTTAGCCATTCTCCTTTTTTTAAAAAAAAAAAAAACCCTCAAGTTTGTGATTTCCTACATCTGCACAGAGAACTGACTTGCATGTATGTGTGGCATGTTCAAGCATTCCTTTTTTCCTCTCCTCTGACATTACAGAAGATAACATGAATGTGGTTTTCTAGTGCCAAGGGAGCCACATCTAAAAAATTAAAAGGGGTGTTGCAGTTTGCTTTGGCCAGAAATAATGTAAAGTCTTGGGAAATTATTTTTAAGACTATTCGAATTCTTGGGAAAAGGAAAACCCATTGCATTTGTTACAAAGGACTCTGCCTGGAGCTCCTTCTTCGTTTTGTTCTTTCCTGCTGCTCTGCTTGGATGTGACATAGCCTGTTTAGCTGGATGTGGCTCATGCAACGTACAACCCCCAAAAGCCTTGAGCAAGGGACCCCATCAAATTGTTATTAAATTGTACTGATTTAACCTAAAACTGGGTGGACAACCATGAGTTTGATTGCCTGTTTCAAAGGCAATCAGGCAGAAAACAAACACATTAATCTGCCTCAGTTACTCTTTTTTTTTTTTTTTTTTTGCTGAATCTAAGATGTCCTTCCAGTTTGAAAGACATATTTTCTGGGGAAAAAAAAAATAAAGTTTTAATGCGACAGAAGGGGAAAATCATTAAATAAATTACTGAAGAAGAACATGTGCCAACTGAACATAATTAAGCAAGTTGAAATGAGATGAAATGTCATTTTTGTCCGAGCACCAGATATGATTTTTCTAGTGTGGAGGCCCAGGCACACAACTGTGTTGCCCGCAGCCCCAAAAATGTTGCATGCTGCTAATCTAGCCATTCTGGCAGTTTTGCTGTATTGTCCCATGCCCCCCTCCCCCCCTCGTTAGGTTGACTGCTGCGGGGTTTGATTAGGCTCTAAATAGGCCTTTTCCTGACTGACCTGGAATTGGACTCCCTCTGTGCTACCTAGAGAAGACATAGCTTTGTGCAACCATAATCTGGCCAGGAAATGCATTTGGTTTGGATGGAAGTAAGGAAAAGCTGTACTTGCTTCTGTTATTTGAACATAATCATTGCACTACAGGAGATTAACACTGGAATTCTTTTTCTAAAAAGAAGTAGCTATTAATACGTCTTAGGCTGTTCAAATTCACAGTTTAACAAGTAACTATGAAGGCAGATTAAGGAATATATGCCATGATTCTGTGAGAGCAGTTTGGGGCTCTGTTCAAACAACATACAATTTGTTTATAACTACTGGTAGTCCTCAGCTTACGACCACAATTGAGCCCAAAATTTATGTGACTAAGTGAGATGTTTATTAAATGGGTTTTGCCCCATTTTATGCCCTTTCTTGTCACAGTTGTTAAGTGAATCATTGCAGTTGTTAAGTTACTAACACCTGGTTGTTGTGAATCTGGCTTCCCCGTCGACTTTGCTTGTCAGAAGGTCGCAAAAGAGGATCACGTGACTCTGGGACACTGCAACCGTCATAAATAGGAGTCATGTCTGAATTTTGATCACATGAACATGGGGATGCTGCAGTGATTGTAAGTGTGAAAAATGGTTGAAAGTCACTTTTTTCAGTGCCATTGTAATTTTGAATGGTCACTAAATGAACTGTTCTAAGTCGAGGACTATCTATACACATTTAGCAGTTGAGGGCAACCCACACACATCAATACAATTTCCCTTTGGATCCAGCCATGAAGGATTACACCAGGTCACAAAGGTATGCGAGCCCTTTCATTTCTTCCATGATTCTCTTTGGATGGGAAGGAGATAAGTTTTATTAGTATCAGTTGTTCAATGCCGAGCAGTCTTTGCAGTTAGTGCATCCCCTGAGCTTCATGTATTCTAAATTTAAAATAACCAAATAAATAATAATTATACACAAGGGCCATCTAGACTCTCAGCCAAGAAAAGTTAAACCAGGCAATCTGTACAAATTATGCAAATTAAACATTGTAGCATCTTCCCTTATTTTGCATAATATAGTGTATAGCGGTTCTATTTTTCATCACAGGTTCTTTTATTTTTTAACCATTTATAAGGAGTTTTTTAACGCAATTATTGCATAATGTGTTCTACTCTGTCAATTGTAAGGAAGAGAAGCAGCAAAGGACTGTGCTATGTGCAGAAAGACACGCTGCACAGCTGCAGATTTTTTTATTATTATTATTTTTTACAATTTTACAATAAAAACCCCTTTCCCAATCCCTCCCAACCCTCCCCAAAACCCTCCCCCATTCTTCCCAGAGCTAGATACAGAGTTAACTAAAACTTAGTAGAAAAAGCTTATAAACTCAAATAAACCACAAACAAATATGATTATATCCAGTGAGCAAATTGTTAAATACATTAACTCTATTATATATAAAAAAAAACAGAAAGAGAAAAAGAAGAAAAGAAAGAAAATAAAAAAAATAATAAAAAGAAAAAAAAAGAGAAAAACTAAACTATTCTACACTTCTAACACAGCTGCAGATTTTATTATTATCGTACATTGAGATTGTCACACATTTTTAGGCGGATCTCAACAGCCTTAAGGACTAGAAATCTATGTTACAAATAATGGAAGTGTACTGACTGCTCTGATAGCTGGATTGTAAACTTCCTTCTCTGTTCCATACACCTTCTTAAATTATAGCATTGGCAAATCCTTTCCAAACATCACTGGTGGCAAACTCACCACAAACCTCTGCAAAAGAATAATCATGAAGATAATCTAAATTGGAGGCTAAACCATATGAGGAATGGCTGCTGGAATTGGGTATGTCTAGTTTAACGAAGAGAAGGACAAGGGGGGAAATGATAGCAGTGTTCCAATATCTCAGGGGCTGCCACAAAGAAGAGGGTGTCAAGCTATTTTCCAAAGCGCCTGAAGGCAGGACAAGAAGCAACAGATGGAAACTAATCAAGGAGAGAAGCAACCTAGAACTAAAGAGAAACTTCCTGACAGTTAGAACAATTAACCAGTGGAACAACCTGCCTCCAGAAGCGGTAAATGTTCCAACACTGGAAGTTTTTAAGAAGAGACTGGACAGCCATTTGTCTGAAATGGTATAGGGTTTCCTGCCTAATAATAATAATTTATTATTATTATAAATGAAGTTCTTTGCTATATCCCACCTTTATTTTGTATAATTCAAGGGAGTGTACATAATGCTCCACCTCCTCTTTTTCCCACAACAACCCAAAGAAATAATCCAGAAAGAAAGTACACCCAGATGAACTAATTCTACTTTTATTATAAGGCTGCATTATTATAATTTTTCAAATCTAAAAGTACCTTTTTCCTTGATCATCTTTACAGCCCCAAAAACTAGAAAGGGGTTCCTTCTGGGATGTTTGCTGGGTCCACATTCTTTCTGCCTCTTACTTTTCATTCCTTTGGTGGTAACTCTTCCCCATTTCCCAAGGTCACACCATTACAGATGGGTTGGGCTAAGGGAGAATTGCCTGGCCCAAAGTCACCCAGCCAGTTTTTATGCTGTAATGGCATATGGAAATGACCTTGGGAGTCAGGGGGAAGAGTTGCAGATTAGACAATGATCAGACAAATGGAATGGAAGCATCTCTTAGAAGGGACCTTCCCTAGTTTTTTGGACTGCAATGATGAGAGTAAAAGATGTACTTTCAGACTTACAAGATTGATGTCAGTATTGTGAGATAGTCCAAACAAGAAACATACCCAGAAATGCTAGCCTTAATTTTACTAAGTTTACATTAATAGAATCTTGTAAGTTCGAAAGTACAACCTCTTAGATGACAATTGCCTTGGATGTGGCTCTTCCATCTTTCTCTTAAAGTCATTCCCACATGCCATTACATATGCCTAAAGGAGGCCTAGAACGTACAGTTCCTGTTTTCTAGTACAGTACTTTAACCCCTGCCAATCAGTTTCTGTGTCAGTTCTGGTTCAGTTCAGCCTTTCCCATTCCCAAAATGGTCTAGAACTGCAACTCCCAGAATTCTCAGAGTGTACACACATTGGCTAGGAATTCTGGATGTTGCCACATTGAAAAAAGTGGTTTTAGTCCTATTTGTTTCGGAAGAGCTAAAGCATAACTAATATCTAACCCATAGAAAGGTCAGGAGAACGCCATATGGCAATCTAGGAGTGGGGAGGGCAAGTGCTATGTTTGTACCATTCATCCATCAAGTCTAGTTTCTGCAAAGGTAAGAAACAACCTGTGGCTCCATTTGCTGATGAACAATCTCTTAGTAGTTGTTGACTTAGCTCAATTTATTTAGATATGTTTCACTACGCTT